CTATAGCACATATCCCCCGAGATGAAATCTTTTAGAAGATTCCTCTTTAGAAACAGTATTTTTAAAGTAGAGAAGGCAAGACTGTACTTCACGAAGAACCATACCAAAAAACAAAAAAGCAAAGTAGGCAATACATGCTTCAGAAAAGGAATATACAATATATGGAAAATTGGACAAAGAAAATATTAAAAAAAAATAACAACTGCACATTGAGAAACATCCAAGGATAAAACCCTAAGGAAGAATTGCATTCTTTTTCTCCATTTTAAAAAAGTTTTTATTCTGCAACTACATTCTAACAAATACAGAACTGAAAACTTCAATAACTATGAGGAACATTTTCAGCTGAAGCTCTATAAGAACATGCTATCATTTAATAAGGGAGTTAAGACAGGTACTTAAAGAAAATGACAAAAACAATACAGAAGAAATCAAAGGAGTCTTGACCAGACACGAAGGGAGGCTCATGGAAGCAGGCAGCGAGGCAGTCCTGTGGACTCAGTACAGTACCAGGAAGAGTGCCTTTGGGCCATGTTGCCCAACACTATAGGTAGATTACCCAAAGATGGGGAAAGTTACCTGACAAGCTGGGCATGTCCTACACAGAGCATGGGTTATATGGGCCCATATATTCATTAGGACCCTTTAGATCTGTGCAACTGAGTGCATGTACATGATCTCAAAAAGAAGAAAAAAAAACCTCTCAGCACCTGACTGGCAGAGTACTGGCACATCTTGAGTGTCCTCTTGCCAGGACTGGTCTTGAATTTGAGATCGTCCTGCTTTAGTCTCCAGAGGAGATGGGATTACAAGAACATGTAACTATCTTCAGCCTCAACTTGGGCTTTTGTTCAAAATACCTGACCTCCCTCAGGAGACTGGTGAGCATGGGATCCTAGACTGCTTCCCCAGGAACAAGCTCCATCTGGTCACTTCTGGGATCTTATGGCTTCAGGCTACCCATGCTCTTCCCTGCCTGGAATGTACTTCTTGAGGTTGTTTGACCTCTCAAGTTTTAGCTTCTCCCTTAAGCCTTTATTTCTGCATTATCTGGGCTCTGCCACCTTTACAACACCCTCAAGCAAAGCGGGCATTTCTTCTGCTCTAGCTGCATGTACCCTGTCAGCAACATGGCTAATACTGTAGTGTCACTCAGCAGCCATTAGGAATAAAACTTTGTTCAAAGGTAATCACACAAATTGCCTCAGCACTGAAATATGTTAGTTCTAGCTAAAAGAATTTATATTATTTAGTTTTTAAAATATAGATCAATGCTGTCTGAGAAAAGGGACTAAAAAGCTTAAGATGTGGGGCTGACTTGGCAGGCTGAGGGAGGATTACTTTGAATTTGAGGCAAGCCTGGATCACATAATGAACTCAAGGCTAGCCTGAACTACATAGTGAGATCCTATCTAAAAACAAACAAACAAACAAACAAACAAACAAACAGAGGCCAGCCAGATGGTGGGGATTAAAGTGCCTGCTTAGGCAGACGCAGGGGCTAGGGGATCAATCCTTGGGGAGCCCTGCCAGGTCTGCCCCTGGGGCATGCTGACCTGGCAATTGAGACTGGGTGTGGTGGCATGCGCCTAAAATCCCAGCACTTGGGAAGTTGAAAACAGGAGAATCTCTTTGAGTCCAATCTGTGTAGTGAGACCCTGTTGATCCTGCACAAAAAAAAA